TAGCTAAAGACCTTTCAAACGCATCTTTATCTTCAATGGGCACCGCCACATCGGAAGGTTTTTTATTTTGGGCCTCTTACACTTCCTTAGGAGGTAAGGTCGGTCCCAGAAGAGAATCAATCACGTTAATAACACCGACGAGATCAATCGGGGTCGTTTCTTGTCTCTGAAGAGCTTCAGAACTGGTGTTCCTCCAGACTGCCTGCCAAATGCGCCTCAGCTCGGGGAATATCTTGGCCATCAATCGGCTCCGGGACTTTACCCAATGCATCCTTGAAGGCCTCTTCAGCCTGAGGCTGGACAGCGACAACACCAAGTTCTGATTTGGAAGCCACTCTCTTTGCGGTATAAGGGGCAATCAGGTTTTCCCCTCCCTCAGATGCTATTGAGGAGTCATCTTTCTCCTCACCTTCAGCTCGGGGACTCCCCGCTACTTCTGGAGTTAAGGCTACTGAATCATCCTTAGGTTCTTCCACTTTGGCCTTCTTGGATTTCGAAGTCTCAATCGACGATTCCCTTTCGTCTTTTCTTCTCTTCGTCGGGTCTCGGGGTATCCGCTTCGCCAAGCCATGCTTCCCTCATCAGGAGGACCTCCCCCATATCTGCAAAAATGCAAAATACGACACAGGGAGTGAGGACGCTATCAACAACAGTTATGTTAAGAGATACAATAACAACAGAAGTAAAGGCTCACCGTGGTCCTTGGCTTCCTATCGAGCCTAGGACGGATCGCTTCACACGCGCTCAACATATGGGCAAATTGAATCTAGCTGGTTGACCTAGCCTGAGAGGTCCTTAACTACATAGGGGTACACAGCGACAGCTGCATCAGCAGAAGAAGTTAGTTCGTAGGAAGATGTACCCAAAGAGAATCAAGAGTATTTAGTCAACATATCTACTTACGTTTTATGTTCCAGTTTTCGAAGAACGACATCCTCTCTGCTGGAATCAGGTTCGAAGTCCTAACTCGGACAAAACGGCACATCCACCCTCCGTTCCTAACCTCGTCGGTGCAAGAAAAAGGCGTTCGGGGCCCGAAGGCCAGGGGGCATAGTTCGAGGTTTTGACCTCAAGGTTTCTTTATACCCGACCTTGGGGCAGCATGAGTTAGTGGTTTTCATGGATAAACGAGAAGTTCTCTAGGCATGTGGTCCAAACTGACAACACCTACAAGAATAGTACCAGTTTATACCAGACTGCTAAGTAGTTGTACCGGCTACATTTCTTTGTAATAAATGCACATGTACTATGTTGGGATTCCCTCCTACTATATAAAGGGAACCTTTATTATTTTTTGCCCACATGATATTACACGAGATACAACATCCCTTACAATATTGAATACAATACAAGAATATTCTTTCTGCCCTCTAACTTAAACATATTCTCTTGATTTCACTACATACATTTATTGCTTACATTTGTTGTGTTTTATTAATTGTTCTTCATTTATTGCTTATTATTGGCCATAAAGAGCCTTCATCAAGGCTTTCAATACTGTTAGCCCTTCATCGGCTTGTCCATAGCTCCGTATCGAGTACGACTCGAGGCCCCGTATAACCAGGCTTGAGGCCCCGATTCTCAGCCACTCGGTTTTCTTAAACACACTGCTTTCGAGTTCTTACCTTGTTTTCTAGTCTCACACTTAGCATCTATCACCTACAACTAGCATAAAAATAGATCATGTTTAGAACCACAAAATTAAATCTAATTGTAATTACCATTTTCAAGGTAAACACCTTTATGGCGCACGTGTATGAGGTGACGTGCTCGTTTGGATATGTTGTCCCTTTGTACTTCGGGATCTCAGGCATACGGAACTTCTTAGGGATTGGCTTTGGAGCCGCACTCGGGGGGGAGGCTTCTTTACAAACTTTTTGGAGTCTAGTTCTTTAAATATCGGTGGTACCCCCGAGATTTGGTCGAGCATGGAGTTTTAAGTTTCAACATTCTTATCGTTTTCCTCGATCTTCTTTTCCCCAGTCTCGATTCACTTTGTCAGTTCCCTAAGTATCTTTATGATAGCAGGGTTAGTTTTCGATTCTCCTCCACTCGATCTATTTGGCACCGATTCGCCTCTGTGAACAATTTCGTGTGATGGCTCGAGCTCGATCCTACTCGGTGCACGATTCTGATTTTGGAGTTGTGCTACTGTAGCTTGTTGAGTCTGCAACATTTTGAATATCATTCGAAGGCTAATCCCGCCTTCTTCACCTCTCTGTGCATTCTGATCGGCTGTTCGAGCATCTCTACGGGCGTTATTTTCATGATTGACGCCCAAATTTCCATTAATGGCGATATGGGAGCTGGCTTTGATTGGGTCCACGGCCGGAGCTCCATCGGGGTTGACTGGAGGTACTCCGTTTACTGGGGCGGCTATGTTTTCGTTCTCGCATGAAGACCAAGATCATTGTCTGTGTGTGTGGGCTCTACTTGAGAGTTTGACATATTGATCCTGGAATCAAAGACACTTCAAAGAACAAGCGTAAAATAGTGTGTGTTACGAAAATTGTACAAGGAAATCACTGTTATACTTAGCCCCACGGTGGGCATCAAACTGGTTATCCTTAAAATCGGATAATAATTAAACTTATAAGTGGTTTTAAGGATACGAAATTTTATCTAGTACCAGTTAATAAATATGATGATTAATAATAGAAATTAACAGCAGAGTAAAGCAAACCAGTATTGAAATGCAATTCAGCCCTCGAATTAGGCCGCCCTCGCACTGACTGAGAATAGAGTTATGGAATATGAAATAAACTGATGAAAAAGAGAGTATAAGAGAAAAAGAGTGTTGTATTGCTTTGATATGCGAGAATAAGATGGTTACAAATGATTAGAATCCCCTTTATATAGTAGAGGAATTTCACTTATGGTACAACTTTAATTACAGAAGGAAATCCCATGATTAGCTAAACATACGTTCTTGATTTGATCCGTTCCGAGATTTCCGCCATGATCCTTGATCAGTCACGGATATCTCGCCTTTCCGTTTTTATGCTATCTTCGGTCTTGCTCGATGCATATCCCCGTTTGGTCTCGATCATTACGGGTCTCGATCTCGACAAGTACTTCGAATCCCGAACTCAGTACCTTATCCTCATGTCTCGGTCTGAAATACTACGAGGTCGATTCTCGATCCATCCCCCTGGTCTCAGTTAATCAGTAAAATCGGATGAGTCCGGTTTTAACCGTATACAACTCTTTAAGATGTTACTAGTATAGTATTTATTTCTTAGTGTTACATTTTTCAAAACCCGTTTACCTTGTGTTTTACTTCTTTTCATAAGTTCACCTAAATACTGGACTATCATATATCAAGGGACCCCAGCGCCCGCGACGCCATACTGTCACAGCAATTACCCTATACTCTATCATATAGTAGTAGCAATTTATTAAGTGTAACTCTTCGTGTAATGGCTTAAAATCGTACACGGCTGGGAAAATATAGTATGACCATGACATTTGATAGAGACATGGTGTAAAAGTCTCCAAAATTTCAATGCATGACTGGATCACAACAAAGAGGAAACTCCATTTAATTTGAAGAAAATACAAGGATGAGAATGATAGAAGAGGAAAGTGCAACTAATAAATTAAAAATCCACGCTGTTGCTGATCTTGAATCGTTGCAATTCATCATAAACAATACGGATGAGAATGAAAATAAATAAATAAATAAATAAGTAAATAAAGAAAAGTTGGAATCCATGAGCAAGCTAGCCCCGGCCACAAGCACAATGTAACATTTTTTGAAAAAAAAAAAAAAAGGAGAAAGGTTATAATAACTATCCATGGTACTGCGCTGTCCAATTGCTGATAATGAGTCACTAGAACTCATCTGGAGCAACAAGGATGAGAAAGTGAAATAACTAAAAGAAAAAAAGAGAAAAAAAAGTAAGTTATATATATACACTGATAGAGTATTGATTTTTTTAGTATGTTTAACCTGTTATAGTAGGCTTGCGACTAGTTTTATCAGGTCACGTATTAGTACTTATTATAGAGATTTACTTGTTATTATCTTATAAATAACTTAATTGTATAAATATGTTTAAATCATCGATACATAGAATTTAAGCTAAAAAGAAATAAAAAATCACTACAAGAAAGAGCTCATTTTGCGGGGGTTAATTTAAAGATTTGTGATAGTTTTTGACCTCCACAAAATAAATTGTGGCGGTTTTAGAAAATGCCACAGTTACCTTCGCCACAAGCATTTCTGTGAGAGTTTATAAGAACCTCCACGACAACCGCCACAAAATCAATTTATAATTTGTGGGGTTTTTAGAGGCTATCAGTGACGGTTTGTAACCTTCCAAATATGATCTCAATGTTTTAAAAAAATATTACGGGGTAGTTATAAACCCCCACAATTTTTATCTCAATCTTTAAAAAAAAAAAAAACTGGCAGCTTATAACTGCCAGAATATTTTTTTTCTATTGAAAATTTTAGTTCTAGAATTCAATAAATACACCATAAATCTAATTCCATTAAAAGTATCCAAACAAACAAACATCACAAATTCAAGTTCATATTAAACTAAAGTTAAACAACACATACGGTATATGATAGCTTAAACATTTTACAATCTAGAGTATGTCAACAATAAATAAATATACAAAAGTGCCATGTATTTGCTTGGTGATCTTTATTGTTGTTACCTCATGATACTCTTATACCCATGAGTGAAGCAGACACACTCTACATATCACTATGTTGAAACTGTGAAATAAATCAATAATTAATTTATCAAACTAAACCAAGTCACACCAAAGTCAAAATCTTTTGGAGCTAACTTCAAACAAAAGTAACAAAAAGTGCAAAACATTTCTGGAAAAAATTAAAAATATGTAGTACTAGCTTACCTCAATATCTCATTTCTAGAGGAACTAACAACTACAAATATGAAACAAATTTGGTTACTTGATATAATTTAGGAAAATAAGTAAAAGAATTGAAAATTTAGGAGATATGTTAAGAAACATAACTTACCCCTCGGTGTCATCATGCAAGCACAGCAATTCTTTAAACCAAATCTGCATAAATTAACATCCAATCAAGTTGGCTTCAACAAAGCTTTTGTCCCTTGAACTACTTCATAGTAAGAGATCCTCTTAAAAGAAACACATGAACATCATAAATTTAAAAAAAGGTGAATTAAATAAAAAGGGTTGAATCATATATGAATACCATTTCTAAACATACTTTTAAACCAAATATGAATACCATTCTAACCATACCAATAAACCAAAAAAAAAAAAATAAGAACTACTTAATTATTGTTACCTTCAGATAGGGCACACATTTAATAAAGTTAGTAACAACATTTCCCTTTACTACATCATCAATTAGATGGTATAGGTAACTAGTTGTACATACTCGTCACATGGCCAAAAAGTGTTCAAGTTCTTTCTCTTGATATGTCTCATTCTAGTATATTTCTTCTTCCATATCTCTTCTCACATATCATATAAATTAAATCTTTTGGCTATGGATGCACAACACATCATCTACATAATACACCTTTTGTGCTTGAGATGCTTCAATGTAAGGCTCGTGTTCTTCGCTCTCTATCTCTAGTAACCATATAGAAAATTATAGTTCCCTGTCTTTTTTCAAAATAAATGAAGCATCAATCGTATACTAATAATTAATCTACCCAAAAATTCCCAAGATTAAAGTTCACTATAAGACCTTAGCAAGTAAAAGAGATAATAAAGTCCATGTAGTTTCGTGAGATTTCCCAATGGAGATGTTAGAGATAACATTAGCAAATACATGTCTGAATAATTCCGATGTGCTCTCGCACAATGATTAATATATGGGTCTTTTCAAGCTTTTTAACAAGATTAATAGCAAAGGTACCGTTTGTTTAAAGTATTCATATATTTTGAAGCATATATATTTAACAAGATTTACTCAATCATATTCTTCAAGAAGGACTATTCCAAGGCAGATTATCCATAAGGGTTTTATTACTGGTTCACGCAATAACTAAACTACAACTGAAAATCACAAATTCCATGGCTATTGAGATAAAGAAAATAAATTGAGTTAAGAGAAAAGGAAAAAACCACCTTAATACGAGTAGCGGCATTCTAAAGTTGATTTGCCCAAAAGGATACTTACCTTCAGAAAAACTCGTGTCATCCTTCAAGCCTGAAAATAATTGAATAAAAAACCATTAAACTGAAACATTGGGGCTACGGAAAATACGTAATCCCTGATCTCAAAAGTCAGCCTAGGAGCAATAAATTGAGAAGAAGAATAATACTTAAATGTAATTAAACTAGATCAAAATTGAAACAGATGAAGAAAGAACGCACCTGAAGTAATTGAAGCGAAAGGAATTCACTGGGAAGAAGGCAGTTTAGCCGAATTGTTGAAAAGAGAAAACCTTGAGGCATAGTGAAATTAAAAGAGGGAAAGATTTGGGAAATTTTTTGAAACGGGAGGGAGAAATTATCGCAACTGCTTTTGGAGCAAACAAGAACGAAATTTTAAGCAACAAAACCAAACTAGTGAGAAAATTAATTTTTTTTTTAAATAACAAAAATATTTTTGGCATCAATAAAATTGCTAAAATCTCTATATTAGATAAATGTAACAATATTTTAATTGGTATGATGAAAATAACAAAAATTCAAGTGCTTAGTTTTGTTAGTATTATTTATATCCTTTCAAAATTTAAATTATCTCAAATAAAATGATAAAACAAAAATTATGTGTATATAATTATAAAACTTAAATTTCTTTTAGGTAAATGTCGCGCGCCTGACGTATGGTCGTTACCTCACATAACATGTTGTTTACGGTAAATCTAAAGCGTATTATTTCACAACAATGATTTATACTTGACTTCGAGTCTATATTTTGTACATAGCCTTAAGGTAAGTTATTTCTTACTATTCGCCAGGCATAAAAACATATAAACATTCATCAATAAGATTTTTATTGCTTATATTTATATATATTTTTGTTTCATTCTACTATTTAGCTACTACTGTCCTATTATTTATAATTGTAAAATTTTGTCACGATCCCAATTTTTTTCCGTAGGATGTCGTGATGGTACTTAGTCTCTAAGATTAGGTAAGCCTAACATTTACTGCTTATTAGTGGAATTTTAACTCAATTAACTGCAATACTTGAAATAATATTAGTAACAACATCGTTGAACCAACAATAGTTACATAACCCCAAAACCGGTAGTACAAGTCATAACCATTTCTAAGAGTAACTATGTAAAATGAATACTGTTCCGGAATAATGGAAAACAATGGAAAAAAAATACAACAGAAGGTGACTTCAGAGCCTGCAAACGTCCAGCAGGTGTACCTTGAAATCTCCAGCCGCACAAGCATAAGTCTCAAAACCAACTCGATCCGACGTACCTGGTTCTGCACAAAAAATATACAGAAGAATAGCACGAGTACACCACAGTGGTACCCAGTAAGTATCAAGCCTAACCTTAGAAGAGTAGTGACGAGGCCAGGTCAAAACACCTACTGAACATGTAAACCTGTGCGGGATATGGCATAAAGCTAACAAGGAAAAAATATCAATGTAAGGCCAACAACAGAAAGAATTCAAATTACTATCAACAGTGAAGTTAAGGGGAACACGAATGGCAACGAGAAATAACCAAGTAATTAAGCAACAATATAGTCGAGGTACAGATGAAGTATGGATGAGTTCAAGTAGGGAAAGCGATGACAACTCAACCAATCAAATCATTCCTAATACACAAATTTCAACAATCCTACTTCTCCTAATCTCAGATCATAAATCACAACTCCTAAACCTTTAACACACATGGTACTTTGTGCCCACATTTTTTTATATCACTTCGCACGGCAAAATTCACGTGCTACCAGGTACATAGTATCCGTGTCAAATGCTATAAATAATACTCAAGGGATCTATTTATATATAATAAAGTAAAATTGCAGTTTCTGAACCAAAGAGGAAATCAATAAGAAATTGAGTTTATTTGAAAAATAATTAGGTGAGGAGAATAACATTTTCAAATAAAATAAGACATCGATAAGCTACAGATGTGAATATAGAATTTAATAAACTAAAACATAATAGTAGTTCCTTTTTAAATAAAGTAGAAGCATCAGATATAGTAAGGAGATTAAGTTGAGAAATCGATTAAAGTGAAATATGACGACTATTAAAAATAGTAAGGTACCAAATGAAACGACGAGTTTTTACTTAGGAGTCACATAAGGTAAGTATGTTATTAATTCTTTTATTTAAAACTGATATGTTACTAACAACTCAACAGGTTATGAGATAATGACTCAGCGTAGTAAATTCATCTTGAAAATTAATTCACCATAATAATAGTAATAGGAAAAGAAAATAGAAAATGCAGCAAAGCAGTAAACTAATGACAAATCAACCCATGAAAACCGGTAAAAGCCAGAAATACCAATCCTCAAAGTCTCGTACGAAAAAACTGAAGCCAACACAATACAATAAGGAATACAAACACATAACTGTTGCGGCACGCAACTCGATCCCACCGTACAACACTATCCTCCCTTATTCCACTATGTAAATATCAATAACAATAAACAAATATAAGTTGCGGTGTGCAACCCAATCTCACCATATAATCAACATCAATATTATAATTCTCTCTTATTTCACCATATCAATTCACTCTTATTTCACTTGTTGCGGCGCGCAATCCGATCCCACCGTACAATATAAATTCTTCTTTATTCCACTTGTTGCGGCGTACAATTCGATCCATAAATAAACCAATAACATCAACAATCCAATACGCAATTTGCAAGAATTTCAACAATCATAGGGTATGAGTACACATCAATGAAGGAATTACATAAAAATCAAGGAACGCAACAACTCAACAAAAAAAACAGGACAAGTGAAGCACGTGACCATTAAGGTGCGCAATTACAACAATAAAGACAAGTAACAGATTAGCACGAAGTCATGGAAGGAACTCAATAATTAAGAGTCACAAGACAATAAGGAAAGCAAAAACTTCAACTAAAGCATTTAAATGCACAATAACAGGTAAGAGGAAAAATAAGTGCTACAACGTCAAGTAAAGCATGGAAGAGTAGACTAACGATGAAAAAATCACAGATTATGACACTTCAATTAAAGGCATGGAAATTTTTTAGATACTCGAAACCGGTCAAATACCACATATAGGTCATGTAACCATTCGTCACCTCACGTACACGACCTTTAGATAACATGAATAACACAATTATCTCAAATCCTAAGGGGTAGTTTCCCCTACACAAAGTTAGGCAAGATACTTACCTCAATTCGGTCAAATCAATACTCAAATTAGCTTTTCCATTACATGTTCACCTCCGTCCGGCTCAATCTAGCTAAAGACGACTTAAATACATCACACAATATAAGAGAAAACAATTTCAATTAATAAAGTTGTGATCTTTACACAATTTCTAAAAAGTCAAAAAAAGTCAACCTCAAGCTTGTCCTGTCAAAACCTGGGTCCAAGGGTATAGGTCTTGACTACCCATAGCCCCACGAATCCATATACGTGTTTTGTTTTTAAATTCGAATTCAATTCGACTCTCAAAATCCCAAATTTTTATTTTTCAAAACTTTGACAAAATCTCCAAATTTTTCCTTAGATTCTCATGAATTTGATGTTAAATCTAATGTATAATCACGAAATAGCATTGAAAGTTTATTAAAATTACTTACCTGATAGTTTGGTATGAAAATCCTTCCACAAAATCGCCTCCCATCAAGGCTAGGGTTCAAAATGTATCAAAATGAATATAAGTCTCGGAATTACTTAGCTATATGCAGACTGTAGTTGTCGCATTTGCTATACGAGGTTAGAAAATGCGAACTCTGCAAAAGCGGACAAGGCATAGCAAAAGCGAATGAGGAGGAGTTCTGCTAAAGTCGCATTAGCGACCAAAATATCGCAGATGCGAAGATAGTTGCCATCGCAAAAGCGATAGAAATCTTCACAAAAACAAATAGCCCACACTCGCAAATGCAAGAAATATCTTCGCAAATGCGAACTCTTCCCTAGCAGCGCAGTTTCGCAAATGCAAGGGCTAATTCGCAAATGCGATGGAACTAGTACCAACACTCAAAATTATATAAAATCATTCCGAAACTCACCCGAGCCTCTGAGGTTCCAAACCAAACACTCACACCAATCCAAAAACATAATACGAACTTGCTCTCGCGATCAAACCAACCTCTAGAATCACGAATATGACGCCAAAACATATGGAAAATCCCCATGAATTTCGAAAACTTATAGAATCACAACCACGCATCCGAACCATATCCAATCAACTCCAAATGACGCGAAATTTTGCAGGCAAGTTTTATATGACGAAACGGACCTATTCCAAGTTCCGAAACTAAAATCTAAACCTGATAATCTTAAAGTCAAACCTAGGAAAGTTTTAAACCTTTAAATTACCAACTTCCACAAAATGATGTCCGAACCCTCAAGAGACATTCACATGAAAATTCGGGCATACACCCAAGTCCAAAAACATCATCCGGACCTATATGAACCATCAAAACTCCGATCTGAGCTAGGGAAAATACTCAAAGGTCAAATCTTGATCAACTCTTCAACTTCGAGCTTCTCAAATGAGAGTCACTCCTTAAAATCATTTCTGAACCACTCCAAAACCCGAGCCGATGATGCACGCAAGTCATAATACACTATGTAAAGTTACTCATGACCTCAAACTGCCAAACCGGATGCAATTGCTCGAAACGACCAGCCGGGTCGTTACAAATTTTCCCATCCACAATAAAATCAACATCCTCAATATTGAGAAGTGACAAATAAAGAGGATGAAAAGGAATATAAACCTTTGGGTGAGCTACTTTAGCTGCTAGAGGAACAGGGCAACTTGAGATAAACGAAAGATAAGAATGTAATTTCAAAGACGTTCGATCGGACCAAAGAGCAGTATACGCCTTTAAATTCTTCGCTAAAGATAAGAAGACGAACTAAGAATGCTCGACATTAGAAGAAAAACTAGCAAGTAAGATATAAAATAAATGGAAGAACTCTACTTTGGATCTTCTTTTTGCCGTGAAAGAATGTGACAGTAAAAAGGACAACGAAGTACTATGGTTAGAAATTGATGTAGTTTGCATAGATTTATAGAGATTTAATTAAAATGTGTAATTTTCAAGTTTTTAACAAAAATAAGTTTAAAAATAAGTCAAAATTACATGAGTTAGTAATCATCACAATTGTATTTAATATCAACTATTTTTGAAATAGCTTAAAGTAATGTATTTGTGGAGGTTATCAAAATCTTTTACAAAAAAAAACCCCACAATAAGAATAATTTTGTGGAGGTTAG